AATTGTGCATACGCAAGTTTAAGTTGAAGCTGAAGAAAATTAGAACAACTCCATTAGAGCCAAAGTATGATCATGAGTATATCCCACCTGAATTTAGAGACCATCTCAAGAACAGATTTGATGCGCTGAACACTAATATCCCAAGACTAGCCGAGTTGTGGAAGGACTTCATACATGAGGAAAGCAAACAGTCATTAAAAAGACAGGAAAGAAAGAAAAGACGAAAATGGATATCAGAAGAGACGCTGAAACTTGCTCTTGAACTTCGAATAGCTAAAGTGAGAGGAAGAAATGATGAAGTAAAAGAGCTGAACAGAAGATTTCAAAGGGCAGCTAGAGAAGACAAAGTAAAATATTATAATGACATGTGCAAAGAGCTGGAGATAGAAAACCAAAAGGGAAAAACACACTTGGCATTTCTCAGGCTGAAAGAGCTGAAGAAAAAATTCAAGCCTAGACAGCAATATTGAAGGATTCTACGGGGAAAATATTAAATGATGCAGGAAGCATCAAAAGAAGATGGGAAGAATACACAGAGATACTATACCAAAAAGAATTGGTCGACTTCTAATCACTTCAGTAGGTAGCATATGATCAGCAACTGATGCTACTGAAAGAAGAAGTCCAAGCTGCAGTGAAGCCATTGGCGAAAAACAAGGCTCCAGGAATTGACAGAATACCAACTGAGATGTTTCAACAAACAGCTGCAGCACCGGAAGTGCTCACTGATCTATGCCAAGATATTTAGACGACAGCTACGTGGCCAACCCATTGGAAGAGATCCATATTTATGCTTATTCCCAAGCAATGTGATCTAACTGAATGTGGACATTATAGAACAATATCATTAATATCACATGCAAGTAAAATTTTACTGAAGATCATTTAAAAGCGGCTGCAGCAGTATATTGAGAGGGAACTGTGACAAATTCAAGCCAGATTCAGAAGAGGACGTGGAACCAGGGATATCACGGATGATATCAGATGAATCCTGGCTGAAAGTAGAGAATACCAGAAAGATGTTTACCTGTGTTTTATTGACTATGCAAAGGATCATAAAAAATTATGGATAACATTAGGAAGAATGGGAATTCCAGAACACAATTGTGCTCATGAGGAACCTGTACATAGATCAATAGGCAGTTGTTTGAATAGAACAAGGGGATACTGTGTGGTTTAAAGTCAGGAAAGGTATGTGTCAGGATTATATCCTTTCACCATACTTATTCAACCTGTATGCCAAGCAAATAATCTGAAAAGCTGGACTACATGAAGAAGAATAGGACATCAGGATTGGAGGAAGTCTCATTAACAACCTGTGTTATGCAGGCGACACAACCTTGCTTGCTGAAAGTGAAGTGGTCTTGAAGCACTTTCTGATGAAGATCAAAGACCACAGCTTTCAGTATGGACTACATGTCAATATAAAGAAACCAAAAATCCTCACAACTGGACCAATAAGCAACATCATGATAAACGGAGAAAAGATTAAAGTTGTTAAGGATTTATTTTTGCTTGGATCCACAATCAACATCCATGGAAGCTAACTAAACTCATTGCCGTGGAGTTGATTCAGACTCATAGTGACCCTAAAGCACAAAGTAGAACTGCCCTGTAGGGTTTCCAAGGAGCACCTGGTGGATTTGAACTGCCAACTTTTTGGTTAGCAGCCATAGCTCTTAACCACTACGCCACCAGGGTTTCCAAAAACCAACCAAACCCGTTGCCGTTGAGTCAATTCTGACTCATAGCGACCCTATAGGACAGAGTAGAACCACCCCATAGGGTTTGCAAGGGGTGGCTGGTAGATTCGAAATGCTGACCTTCTGGTTAGCAGCCAAGCGCTTAACTACTGCCTCCTATCCATGGAAGCAACAGTTAAGAAATCAGAAGACACTTTACATTAGGCAAATATGCTGCAAAAGACTCTTTAATGTGTTAAAAAACAAGACATCACCTTGAATATTGAGGTGAGCCTAACCCAAGCCATGCTGTTTTCAATTGCCTCATATGCATGCGAAAGCTGGACAATGAGTAAGGAAGAAGAATTGAAGCCTTTGAATTGCAGTGTTGGTGAAGAATATTGAATATACCATGCACTGCCAAAAGAACAAACAAATCTGGCTTGGAAAAAAGTACAACTCGAATGCTCCTTAGAAGCAAGGATAAAGAGACTATGTCTCACATATTTTGGACATGTTATCAGGAGAGACCAGTCCCTGGGAAAGGACATCATGCTTGGCAAAGTAAAGGATCAGCGAAAAAGAGGAAAACCCTCAAGGAGATGGATTGACACAGTGGCTGCAATAATGGTTTCAAGCATAATAGTGATTGTGAAGATGGTGCAGGATCAGGCAGTGTTTCGTTCTGTTGTATATTGATCACTATGAATGGGAGCTGACTCCACGGCACCTAACAACAACATGGGAAAGGGAAAATTAACAAGAAATATTCATATTATTTCAGAATGTTAATATGAAGTTTGACTCACATATGTAATGCTGGGATTTTGGTTTCCCATAATGCACCATGAAATTTGGGAGGAAGATTTTATACATTTCCATAATTGTTTCCCAAGTTAGGGTATTGAGTTTGTTTTAATTTCCATTGGACGTGTCATAGAGATAAACAATCCTCTGTGTCTTGTATGTAGAGTAAGCTTTATTTTTAATTATTTATTTTTGTTATTCCATAATGACAAATAATTGCTTTGGGAACTTTAGGGACCCTGTCCCCAGGAGTTTAAATTACAGTATGAAGTTCCTAACTCTATGCTATACACAGCCTGACATCTTTAAGACCAGCGAAGTTAGCAGCTGAGCACTTAACCACTGGCTCCAGTCAGGTTTGTTAGCTATAACTAGACTCTACTTACTTGAATACTGCAATACATTTTGTGAACAAGAAAATATTTTTTAAATATATCTAATTCTTCTAGTTATATAGAGGACTTATAAGCTTCAATAATAATTATAAGCTCTATAAAAAGTTTCTATAATAGTTATAAGCTCTTGTTTAATTAGAGTACATTTATCCAGAAACTCTTTTCCTGGTTACTTATTATTTAAAATACTTAAAATTTAAAATATTTAAAGTTATATAATTATTTAAAGTAATTTTTCTTAGTATTAAGATATGTGATGGAAAATTAGAATAATTCCTCCTTAACACTAAACATTGGGTGACATCTAACAATGTATATTAGAATACATAGTAAACAAAATGGTAGATCTTTCTTTCCACTTTTCCTTCTCATTCCTTCTTCTTTCACACAAATTTCCTCCATTGAATCTAGTAGAGATGACCACAGAGATGTTCCTTAACTGTCATCCTAATTCTGAGGGTTGAATTAATGTGCCCACAGAGCTGGTATGAGGACACATGGACTTGTCAGCTCTCTTTGCTCAGGAAAGCAGATAATTCTTTTAAACTAATGATTGACTTTACCATGGCCTAGTTTTATTCTATCAGCCTAGGTTGGAAGGAAACATTTCCAAGTTGATTTTTCTCTTTAATTTACAGGTTGACAAAGAGCTGTATGTAAATATGCACATATATAAGTATGGTCAGGTAGATGATCAAACCATGACTTCAGACAATCATTTGTTTCTGCTTCTTTAAAATTAGTCCAAGATGTGGAGAAAATACCAGGCTGTGTGTGTTCTTAGTCCTGTCTTTCCTCAGTTGTCATAGCACATGTGTCTATGAGTCTAGCAGGGAGAGCAGAGAGTAAAATTCCTCATCTTCAGTACAGCTTTACTTTAAGCCGAACGTCTGGATTGCACCTCCCACTTACATAGACTAGATAACATAATCACTCCCTCCACTCTACTCTGTGAGAACTTGAGAAAAATTTTATTTGCCTCTTTTTTAATGTGGATAAAATATGTAGCTATCAGGATTGTAGCCTGTCATTAAATTGATTACATACAACATCTCTGTCTCCATTCACACCTCTACATCTACATCAACAGTTAAAACATCTCTTCTCCAGGTGTACTGTTAGTTATCCTGTTGTTAATTAACCGTGTCTAAAACTTAGTTTCAAACAGCACCATAAATTTCCATTACAATCACACTATACAGCAGTTTGACAATTTATCTATTTTTTATATTTAATATTTTCATATTTTTAATACCATATACAGTGTTGCTATGTAGCTTTGAACATAATTTTTCAATTTTGTCAATTAATTTAAACATTTCTTACAATAGATAGCTAAGAATAAAATATCTCATCCAAAAAAAAAAAAAAAATTTGGTTTTTATTGTTGATTTTATTAATACTTTGCACGTATGCTCTTTAACTTCTTTCCAGAAAAGTTTATACAATAGTTAGCATTGTTAGCATTGACAATTATCCTTGTCTTTAACAAAATCACTTGGTTAATTTGATAAGCTAAAAAGATTATGACTTTCACTATCTACTTTAATTATCTTTATTTCATTCTGCATAATACCAAATGTAAATATGTCTTTCTAAGCCACCGATCTCAAGGAAGTTTGTTACACCCTACAACACTGGAAATACAGAACACCTCATCTACTGAAAGTTTATGTTGCCGAAAAACTGCAAGAACAAATAAACACAGTGTATATTATACAGGATAACGGCAGCTGTAGCCCCAACTGGGCATAGCTTGCTAAGTTTTTCAGGAAACAGGAGTTAATTTCTATGGAGCTGTAAAGCATAACATTGAATCAATTTCAAAGTTCCATCAAACCACTAATTTAATAGGTCATCTCAATCTATCTTGCAGATAAATTCTGAGAAGCACTTAAGGCTTCTGATGATGATTTTTAACCATCAAGATCTACTTAAGTTTTTAACATTTTGAATGATTTGACAATTACATTTTTTCTTATATATAGTTTTCTCATAAAAACTATTTTTCATATCAATATTCTATTTCTATGAAGTTAATATAAAACTCTTATTCTCTTCCAGGAGAAAGACAAAAAAATTAATTCGTTTTCCCAAACTTGAACTGTAGTGGAAAATGGTAGAGGAAAACTGTGCCACAGTGACAGAGTTCATTCTCCTGGGGTTATCAGACATCCCTGAGCTGAAAGTCTTCCTCTTCCTGTTTTTCCTTCTAATCTATGGAGTCACAGTTGTGGGCAACCTGGGCATGATTGCACTGGTTCAGGTCAGCCGTCAGCTTCGCACCCCCATGTACTTCTTCCTCAGCCACTTGTCCTTTGTGGATTTCTGCTACTCCACCATCATTGTGCCTAAGATCTGAATAATATCATAAACAAGGACAAAGCCATTTCTTTCGTGGAATGCATGGTACAATTCTATTTGTTTTGTATTTATGCAGTCACTGAGGTCAACCTGCTGGCTGTTATGGCCTACGACTGCTTTTTTGGCCATCTGCAACCCCCTGCTGTACATGGTCATCAAGTCCCAGAAACTGTATATGGAGCTGGTGTCTGGCTGCTACCTGTGTGGAACAGTGTGTTCTCTGATGCACTCGTGTTTACTTCTTGAGATCCCTTCCTATAAATCAAATGTGATTAACCACTACTTCTGTGATCTACCCCATCTCTTATCTCTTGCCTGCTCTGATGTCTCTATGAATGAACTGCTGTTGTACATTGTGGCCACTGTCAATGAGATCAGCACCATCTTGGTCATCCTCACCTCCTACTTGTTTATTCTCATCACCATCCTGAGGATGCGCTCTGAAGAGGGAAGACGCAAAGCATTTTCCACCTGTGCCTCCCACTTCACAGCTGTCATTGTCTTCCATGTAACAATCCTTTTCATTTATTGCAAGCCCAGCTCTGGCAAGTGTCTGTACACAGACAAGGTAGCCACAGTGTTCTACACTATAGTGATTCCCATGCGGAACCCCCTGATCTATAGCCTGAGGAACAAAGACGTGAAGGAAGCTCTCAGGAAAGTGGTGGGATTTAACTTAATCTCCAAGAGGTCATTTTCTTAGCTATACTTAGTTTCAAAAGGAACCTTTATGGATGGATTTTTGTTTTGGTGGAAATGGATGAGATGGTAACCGAGAAGGACATTAGTATACTAGGGTACTATGCATGATTCTTTGCTGTCTACTCACCTTTTAGACTTAAGTTTCCTAGTATTAGACAGAGCATAGTTCAAACGTATCTGCCACCTTTGCTGCTGTTCTCCGGTCTCTGAGCGTTTTGATCATGTTTGTGGGATGATACTGTCAGGCCTCATTTTTCTGATGTGTGATTACACAAATATATTTCCAACAAAGTAAAAATAAAGAAACATGTTTTTCCCACGCCCTTAATGCATGTAACCATTTTTATTGAATTCACTTCCTTTTTCTTCCAGGGAATAACTATACATTTGTCTCATATATATATATATATACACACACACATATATATATATATTTAATTTGGAATGATCTTCCCATGTGTTCATAGGTATTTATGATAATTAACTTTTTGTCTTTTTTGGTTATTTTCTCTTTTACTACTTTTTCTATTGCAATGTTGGTAGTTTCACAACTTTTAAAAAATATTATCTGTAAAATGAATGTAATACTATTACTCTACCTATCTCATGAGTTCCTGGGTGGTACCAACAGTTATGGAGCTTGACTATTGGCTAATAGTTTGGAAGTTAAAGTCCACTCAGAGGTGCCTCAGAAGAAAGACCCGATCATGTACTTCTGAAAAATCAGCCATTGAAAACCTTATGCAACAGAGTTCTACTCTGACACATGTGAGGTTGCCATGAGTCGGTGTCAAATTGAGGACAACTGGTTGGTTACTTCTCATAATATTATCATGGAAATTAAATAAGCAATGAATCTCAACTTCTTAGTGCTATATATAGTATATTTGATTAATGAATTAGCTACAGTCCTTATTATTGTTGCTTTTGCTCTATATTTCACCATACTTTTTTTTTTTTTTTAAAGCAAAAAGAAAGTTTTATTCAGCATATATTCAAAAGGACATAAGTGGGAAGCAGACAAGCATTCTGCCACAGCCATGTCTGCCAGAGTCCAAAGAAGGTTACAGAATCATCAGTATATATCAACATCACAAAATGGGTAGAATCATTGAAAGCGTCACTTTTTCACTGATTGGCTAGAAATTGTAATAATCTTACATTTTGAATCATCTTTCTTAACAATCATTGGTACAGGTTTAAGTTACAAAAGTCAGGAGGGTCTTCACTGGTCCAACAAATTCCTATTCACTAAATGTTAACAGAAAAAGGTAAGAGTGGAAAGTATTTGGTGTTCTGTTGATGGGATTTATGTGAAAGTTTCCCTAAAAGATATTTTCGAAGATTATCTTAGCTATTGTCTTTATACCTCAAGGCCCAGTTGATGTGTCCTTGTGAATCCTTGTGAGCCCTTGTAAGCCCAGCTCCATCTGGGTCACATTATGCATGCTCAAGGAGAGGGAATAATAACTCCAATATTACTTCCTAAATCAGTCCTCCTTTTGATCGGAGATTGGAGATAACACATCGATGATCAATACCTGGACTTAGTCGAGCTCCTAGATGGCGGCCATTGGAGGGTCTTTAAACACATGGTGCTGGTTTTCCACCGAATACCATCTGGTTCTTCACCAGGATCTTAAGTAAGAGCGACATTCTCATCAATCACATTGCCAAAGTGAGCAGACTCAATGTACATCAACGTTTTAGCCCAAGGCCTTCTTTTGCCCTTTAGGTGTGTAAGACAATAGAGGATAAATTTTACTATGTCTAGAACTATCAGGATGTAGACTAAGAATATTACTATTCCTCGCAATAGTGATCTAGTCTATGTACTTATTCCTGATGGTAACCAACGAAACAAATCTGGTGTTTGTAAGGGTGTGCCAATGTGTTATCAAGTAGCTTGCTGTCTAATTCTATGTATATCTTGTCTGCAGCACAGACTACACTTTCTTGGACTAATAAAAAAAAATCTAAGGTTATTTTGTTAGCTCATGTCACCTTGGCTTATGAGATCAGAGATCACTGTTGTGCTTCTATCTCATCTATTATTTGTCCCATGGTGACTGACAAATTTTCTTAAAGATTTCTCCTACTCAGATATATCATAAGTAGGAATTAAAGCTACCAACGATACCCTGAGCATTGGACCAATGAGTTTTCTTCTGACTTTCATTTTACAATTTTAATATTACCTTTTCAATATTTACTAGCATTGTTACTATGAATACTTAAAGATAATCCTAAAGTTCTCAGAGTGCATTGTCCACACATTCGTCAGCAATCTAAACAAGCTATTGCCCATGTAAATTCACTATCAGTTGGAAAGGATCATCTAAAGTAGTATAGTGGGATCTATCGCACAGGAATATATATCTATAAAGAGCACTCAAAGTTTGTCTAGAGGAAACAAAAAATATAAAAAAGTTTACATGTGACAAGTTTTCATTAGAGAACTAATGATTAGCAAGACAATATAGGATGGACTTTTCCTGTAGGAGGTCTTCAGTTAGTCTGTTTAAAACTGTTCTTCCCAAGGGCGAGCTGCCCCTCGGTGGTTTACCTATTAACAGTCATGAGTCACTTTCTCAGAGGCAGAAATGGAACCAAAGACAAAGGGGAGTCTGAGCCATGAGGTCAATCTCTTCTGAGAATCTGGTTTCTTTCAGATACATAATTTTCTGCTTCGTAAGAGGGTGACAGTTTGATTACAAACATTATATAGGTATTTCATATGACATTGTCTTAAAGACTGATTAAAGTAATTACTAATTTACCTTAAACATAACTCTCAGTCTGATCTTTGAAGTTAGTTTCCTAAAACAGACTGAATTCTTCAAAAAAAAAAAAAAAAGCTCAATACCCAGAGCAAAATGGTTTTACTAGTTTATCTGGACCACTGTTTGACTCAAAGTATCTTCAGGAACCAGTTTTTTTCTCAAAACTCAAAGTTCAAGAGGACACCCAAAGGCAAATATCCCGTGTGGGTTGCCTCAACCTCCCTGAAAGCCAGAAATCTGGATTCCAGGAGAATTATACACAACTCTCTCATCATTCTTTCCTTTGGATCTTGATCTTGTTATAGAATCTTTTATCAAAAATGCTCAATAAACGGTAATTGGACATCTTCTGTTTTTTTAAGATCCCAGGCACCATACGGAAACTAGAAAATAAAACAGAAACACTAACAATTATATTAGGCCAATTGTCTGAAAATAACCAATGAAACCATGACCCTAAGGTCTTTGAACCAAGGAAACAAATCTCATGAGGTGTTTGTCTCTACTTAAGCAGCATCAGTAACTGCTTTTCATGTGCAACTCAACAGCAACTACATGCTGCAAAACCTCAGATTATTAATATAAATACAGCAACATTTATCTATTGAGGCACAAACTGTTTCTGAAGAGACTAACAGGAAATCTAATTTTGTAAAATCATAGCTCAAATTTCAGACAGTTCTCTGGTTATGATATCTACAACTTGGCTAAGTTTACCAACAGGAACTTCTAATTCAAGAGTTACAATATCTAAACCCATTAGTTAGATAATTTAGGAGAAAGGAGAATGATTTCTTATATCCAGAAATTAGGACCTTAAAATATCAGCAATATTAAAAAAAAAAAAAAATAGTTTCCTTTAGTTTACTCAGTCTTATGCAGTTAATTTCTGTTCCACGTGATTCTGGATCAGCCGTGGTCTGCAAACTCATCAGCTTCAGCATAGGAGCTCTGGAAATTTTATTCAGTCTAGTCACCGTCTTTTTAGCAAGTCCAATATAGTCCACCTTTTTGTTGAGATATTTTGGTCAAACTTTTTCTGCAAAGTAAAAACTTATCTGCAGATGACAAAACTTAATACGGCCATGATTAATTGATAAACATAATATTGTTAATAGTGAAAGACCTGATAGAAATTAATTATAAGCATAACGTAAAGGCCAATTAAAATCAGTTAAAAAAAAACTTTAGATAAAAATATTTCTAAATATAGCCATTAACCATGTTCAAAGAGCTTCAGATATAATGCAGAATAATTTTGAGACAAAATACTATATAGTAAAGATATACCAAAAATATACCAAGATTATTAAATCTCTAAATACCTGAATAGTAATAAAAAAAACTTTATAGGTAAGTGATGTGAATTCTCTAATCAAACCATTGGCTTTGATAATGCTAGATTTAAAAAGATAAAGCTGCGACCAAGTTAGCAATAAAGAGATAATAATTTTATAGGTCACTGTGAAACAATACTTAAGTGATTTAAGCAAAGATCTTAAAGTAAAACCCTTAGCTTTCTCTTCTAAAAGCCATGAGGCTTAGTATTCAGACTCAGGAAACTTATTCTAATGAGAGGCCAAACCTTTGTCTTCCAGGCAGATTACACAAAGAATAAATTAACCCTTTAACTCAGAAATTAAAGAAAATTTTGTTATTTTAACTGCGAGAAACCCAATTCTTTGTTTTATATGCTACTTAACATTAAAACTCTTAAAAATCTCATAAACCATTAAACTTTAGTCAGACAAATGAAACTTGACCATATCAAATAAATTTCTTTTTCAATAAACCCTTAAAGGTTGCCTTTGTTGTATATCTTTCACAGTGTATCCCTTTAAATGGCAAAAATGAACACACTCATTAGCAGACTTAAATATATATATAAATCTGTCTATCCTTTCTTTCGTGACATAAAAAGACAAAGTATATGAACTTAAATTATGACAAATATCATTAACTTAATAACATCAATAAGCTACCTAAAGTGTTTTGGGAATTATTTTAAGCCTGTATATCATAAAACATAACTGTTGTTGAAAGAAAAGTCTATTTAAACATTCTAAGATTTTGTTCAGCTTTTACTACTTCTTATATTTTCCCCAGTCTAATTTTTGCCCTTAAAGATTTTATCAACTGGCTTTGGAAATCACAAAGTCTTTGCTCACTTGACCAATTCATTG